AAAGAGGTGAGAAAAGAGGTGAGATCTCACCTAAACATTATTTTTGGATCATTTACACTCATTACGATGAAGAAGTTTCGACAAATCATTTACACTCATTACGACGAAGAAGTCTTGACAAATCATAAACGAAGAAATCATGACAAAACATGTACGAAGAAGTTTCGACAAAACATTTACGTTCATGTTTGACAAAACATATACGATGAAGAAATCATGAAAATTCATGAGGTGAGAAAAGAGGTGAGAAAAGAGGTTAGATCTAACATTCTAACATAAACATTATTTTTGGATCATTTACGCTCATTATGATGAAGAAGTCATGACAAATCATTTACGATGAAATCATGACAAAACATTAACGTAAACATTTATTTCCTGTGTTGTTGTCAAAATGTCATGTTGTCACACTTTTTCAGAGAAGTTAAATGACCGAGTGACACATGGTGACGTAGTGACACCTAAAAACCATCTACCCTAAACATTATTTTTGCTGAATTCAACAACAAAATGAACGAGGTCAGGATGTATGCAAATACCTTTGAATTCATTCATAAATTCCTTAGTAAGCTCATAAAATGCTTGTTTTTGCATCACATTTTGACGAAGTGAAGATCTTCACTTCGTCAAAAATGTTTTGCATTCTCTACTGTATCTTCGAGTTCTTCTTCATCTAACTTCTCATGAACTTTCTTATCTATGGAGTCCATAATATATTTGACATAAAATGCATACTTTACAGAGCACCATTCAGCAACAAAATGAACGAGGTCAGGATGTATGCAAATACCTTTGAATTCATTCATAAATTCCTTAGTAAGCTCACAAAATGTTTGTTTTGAGGTTGAGCCACTTTTGGCTCGACCGTATTCTTTCAACCAAAACTCAAGAATTTTCCTGCGTGAATTTTGTATAAAAAGCAACCGTCGGAATTCAGACGGTTGTTATATTCTTCACAAAACATTTACGTTCATTACGATGAAATCATGACAAAACATGTACGATGAAGTTTTGACAAAACATGTACGAAGAAGTCTTGACAAAACATTTACGCTCATTACGATGAAGAAGTCATGACAAAACATATACGATTAAATCATGACAAAACATATACGATTAAATCATGACAAAACATATACGATGAGGTCATGACAAAACATATACGCTCATTACGAAGAAGTCATGACAAAACATATACGATTAAATCATGACAAAACATATACGATTAAATCATGACAAAACATATACGAAGAAGTCTTGACAAAACATATACGTTCATTACGAAGAAGTCATGACAAAACATATACGATTAAATCATGACAAAACATATACGATTAAATCATGACAAAACATATACGAAGAAGTCTTGACAAAACATATACGATTAAATCATGACAAAACATATACGAAGAAGTCTTGACAAAACATTTACGATGAAGAAGTCATGACAAAACATATACGAAGAAGTCTTGACAAAACATATACGTTCATTACGAAGAAGTCATGACAAAACATATACGATTAAATCATGACAAAACATATACGAAGAAGTCTTGACAAAACATATACGAAGAAGTCTTGACAAAACATATACGATTAAATCATGACAAAACATATACGAAGAAGTCTTGACAAAACATTTACGATGAAGAAGTCATGACAAAACATATACGATTAAATCATGACAAAACATATACGATTAAATCATGACAAAACATATACGAAGAAGTCTTGACAAAACATATACGTTCATTACGAAGAAGTCATGACAAAACATATACGATTAAATCATGACAAAACATATACGATTAAATCATGACAAAACATATACGATTAAATCATGACAAAACATATACGATTAAATCATGACAAAACATATACGAAGAAGTTTTGACAAAACATGTACGAAGAAGTCTTGACAAAACATTTACGCTCATTACGATGAAGAAGTCATGACAAAACATATACGATGAAGAAATCATGAAAATTCATGAGGTGAGAAAAGAGGTGAGAAAAGAGGTGAGATCTCACCTCTTCACCTAAAATATATTTTTGGATCATTTACGCTCATTACGATGAAAAAGTCTTGACAAAACATTTACGATGAAATCATGACAAAACATGTACGATGAAATCATGACAAAACATTTACGACGAAGTCATAACAAAACATTTATGTTATACAGTAATGTTAGTCATGAATGTTTGTCCTAAGTGTTGGCGTTAGTGTTGAAAAATAATGTTTGTCCTACATGAAGCCGTACAAGCGTTTGAATTTGTTTATGCATAAGATTACTCTCTTGTTTTCTGTATCTATCATAGAAACATAAGCAGCACCTGTTTTTGTAAAGTTTATATGAAGTTTTCGATAGTTAAGACCTGTATAATAATAGAATGCGTCTTCATTCTCAACATAGTAGTAGAACTCAAACGAATGCTTACCATAATCTGTTATTTCAACAGCTTCGTCAGATATTTCATCAACGAACTCATAAACTATATCGCCATACTTGCTTTTATTTCTATTGTTTTCAGATTTAGAACACCAACGAAGGTTTGAGATTCTGTTGTCCGTTCTATCATGATTTATATGGTCTATTTCTTTCAAATTGTTTGGATTTTCAATCCACTGTTCTGCAATAATTCTATGCTTTAAATGTGTTTTGTTGTTTAAACTAAGCTCAATATAACCATGATTATTTAAGCATTCACTCTTAATATGTTTGTTTTTCTTTCGACGAATAGTAAAAGGATATGTCGTACAAATCTCATAATCTTCATGATTTCTCAATGTTTCCCATTGAGTTTGTTCCCCACTAACGTTCTCATTGACGTCCTCAATATCTTCTTCCTCACTGAACTCGTCAATATTTTCACTAGCTCCTTCTGTAATGTTTTCATCGGCATTGTCATTGACTTCTTCTGTAATGTTAGATGTTGTTGTTTCGCTCATGTTCTTTCACTAATGATAAAAAGTTATGTTGTACGAATTTTGAACAGAATTTAGAGCAGTTATGAAACAATGAAGTATTTTTAGGCTATTGAAAGGAACTATGAGAGTGAAGTACATGACAGCAATGACAAAAGGAACTAATATCAAACCTAATGAAATCGCTCACGAGGACATAGAGCTTAACAAGTACTTTGTGGAGTATCTTATAAGTGAAGAGTATGTAAGACCTTACTTCATGTTTGACAGCATGAATGAGGATGTTATTTCATGGTTAAAGAATATAAGCAATGTTTTCGGTAAGTACGTCATAGATGACAAAGGTCTTGTTGTATTTTATGAGACAGCAATACGAACACAGGAACTAATGGATATTATGCATTCAACAGCAAAGAAAGGATTTAGTACTATTGGCATGAATGAACATTGCAGGAATGACATATACAACCTATGCTCACGAAAGCCTTACACAAAAGCAATACAAATGATAGAACATAAGTGTCTAAGGTCAGCAAATGAAATTATTACTGTCAGTGGTTATGAAAGAACTGTTAGCAAAGATGAGTGGAAACAGCTATTCATATTAAGGAAGGACGTTGCTGAATTAGTTAAACCTGTTGCACAAACATTGTTTCAGATAAGACCAGCAATGACTAAGAACCCTTTGACCTTAGTCAATGAGACCATAGAGGTTGAAGATAATGACATGAAAGAACTAGGAATGAATGAGAGAAGTTGTGAAGGATGTTTGAGTCAAAACACATGGTTCTTCAGAGCTGTTAAGAAACTTAGTAAAGAACGACAGAAATATTTTATAGAGAAGTATTGCAAAGGATGTGTAAATGAATTGCTTGAAATAGAACTTAGAGACACTTTCACACTAAAGGACTTGAGGAGAAATAAGTACATGAGTGAAGAAGGTATTGACATAGCTAGTGTTATAAATGACTTAAGAAGATGTGTTGTTGTTATTGACGGAGCACGTATAACATATCTAGTGAAAGATTATGATGGAATACGAGACACAACAACACTTGTGTCAGTAGATAGCAAGGAATTCAATAAGCTCATGAAGAGTATTTATGTAGGACGTGTTGAGGAGAAGGATGTGAACGCACTGATGATTTATGAAGCGGGTCAGAACAAGAACTATCTTATGAAGTCAGGCATGAGATTCTTTGACGAAAGAGATGACATTTACAGCTATTTCAGAGGATATGAGTATGAGGTACTGAATGAAGTAGATGAGAACGTTATTGAAGGATATTTGAAACATGTTCACGATGTCATATGTAATGAGGATGAAGAGCTTTATGAGTATGTTTTGAACTGGTTCGCCTACATCGTTCAAAATCCTTGTGGAAAGACTGGAACAGTACTTTTGTTAATAGGAAAGCAAGGAACTGGTAAGAATGTACTTAGTAATGTTCTATGCGAGCTCATTAGCAAGTACGCCAACAATAATATAACGGCAATAGAGAATGTGGTTGGTAGATTCAATGCTGCTATTGAGAACATGAAGCTCATCGTATGCAATGAACTAAGCTCATGCGATACGTCTAAGGTCATGAACCACGACGCACTAAAGTCAATAGTAACAGAGACTCAGTTGGACTTAAATCAGAAGTGTCAGCCAGTAAGAAAGATAGAGAATGTTTGTAATATCATCATGATATCTAACAACTTCAACTCAGTAAAGATTGACAAAGACGACAGAAGATTTGTTGTCATTGACGTAAGCAGCAGATACAAAGGAAATTACGAATATTTCTCAAATCTCATTGAAAGCTTTAATGAAGAGTTTTATTCAAACTTACTGACGTACTTCATGAAGAAAGATTTAAGTGAATTTGATGTAAGGAAGATACCATTCACCAGGGCTAAACAAGAACTCATCGAAATGAACAAAACACCTTACCAAATGTTTTACGAGGAGTTCTATGAAAAGTTTGTATCCGGATGGAATTGTACAGAGTGCTACAGAAGATATAAAGAATTTGCGAAGGAGAATGAATTCTTTGCATGTAGTTCAAATGTATTTGGTGGCAAGATGAGAGAATTTGTGAAGAGAAGTAGAAAGCGAGACGGTTCTGCAAGAAGTTATATTTACGAAGCAAGTATGATATTAGAAGGTCGTGGAAAGAAAGAAACAGTGAATTATGAGGAAGTGCTTGAAAAATTCATGGAGTACATGGGAAGCAATATAACATACAACAAAGACATATACAGTGAGTTTAAGTACTACTGTGAACAGCATGAGATTGAAGTAATGAGTAAAGGAGACTTTGAAACGCTTATGAAAGACAGTAAGGAGGTCGTTCATGAGAACAGTGATGAAATAGTTCATGAGAACAGTGAGGAGGTCATACATGAGAACAGTGATGAAATAGTTCATGAGAACAGTGAGGAGGTCATACATGAGAACAGTGATGAAATAGTTCATGAGAACAGTGAGGAGGTCATACATGAGAACAGTGATGAAATAGTTCACGATGTCGTTCGTGAAGAAGCCATTGCAACAAAGAATGAGATAAAGGATTTCATAGAACTTAACAAGGAGGAGTTTAAAGAAGGCTATGAAGTGAAAAGATGTGAAGAAGATTTCTTGGCGTATTTGAAGAAAAAGAGACTAAAGCCAATGGCTCAAAATAAGTTTCAATCGATGTTTGAAAAGAAACGTTTGAGCTATGGTGGTGTAAGAAGCACATATTACTTTGTTAAGAAGTGAGGACATTTATTTTTGTCGTTAGTGTTGGAGTTTGTGTTTGTTGTTAGTGAGAGAATAAATTAAATCATAAACTTTGCCATGGTCTCTGTCCCTAGTAGTTTTCATTATCTCAAGAGTAATGAAAGTCATAAACTTTGCCATGGTCTCTGTCCCTAGTAGTTTTCATTAAGTTCTGGAAATAATGAAAGTCATAAACTTTGCCATGGTCTCTGTCCCTAGTAGTTTTCATTATCTCACAGAGTTAATGAAAGTCATACTTTCTATCAGATGAAGCATGCAGATGAACATAATGAAAGTTAGTGAGTTTGCCACGAGTTATGAATAAAATATTGGAATATTAGATGAGATAGCTGATGAAACAGATGAAGATAAATTAAATCTTGGACTTTGCCACACTCTGTCCCTAGTTCCTCAAAAATCCTTGACAACGTTGCTTAGAAATTTTGGTTCAAAACCTCATCTGATTTTAATCTGTTATGCTACCTGTTAAGTTTCGCGAGATTATAAATGTCATGGAGTTATATAAAAAGGATGGACAGCTAGGGACACTGGAAGTACTTGTAAGGCTATCTGTTAAGATTGCATGAAATACTAAAAAGTCATGAAATCCATTATCGCTGTGCTAGCTTCACCTTAGAGTAAAATGACGACTAAAGTCACTGAAGCAATGAAACAAAAGTTTTTGGTAGAATACATTAAATCAGGAACTATTCCAGAAGGTTTTTACATTCATACTATGAAGGATGGTAGAGTTCAGTTTAGAAAGATAAAGCAACCATTAGATAAAGAAGGAATTTTGAGAAAGATTAAACTTCATGAGGACAACATTGCTGAACTTAAGAAGAAGTTAGAAGAGTTGGATAAAGGAAGAGAGTTATAAAGCAATGAATTCAACAAGGTTAGAAATGAGGGTAGAAATGAGGTTAGATCTACCCTTCTACCCTAAATTTATTTTTGCGCTATGTTTTCATACGTGTGAGGGTGGTGATATCATTAATTTTTAAGTTTATTTTTAAATAATTTTTTATTTTATTTTTATGTAAATGACGAAAACTATTGAGATAACAAACTACAACGGTCATGAGTTCAAGAATTTGTTCTTCGTTCCTCGTGAAAATACATTCTATCAGATACGAGGGAGAAAGGGTAAAGTTAGTTTGAGCGTTTACGACAACAAACATAATGGGAGATATATAAAAGCAATAGATACAAACGGTAAGCGTGTTTCATTAGCTTTGTCAAAACTTACATACATTTATTTTGACAGTGATTTTGACTCTAACGATTGGAGTGACAGCAGCGATACTGAAGAATATGAACTATTGTGTGAAGCACAGCAATGGGAAGCGCTGCAATACTTTTGTAAATGAGAACATTAGTGGGAACGTTAGTGAGAACGTTTATTTTTTCATTAGTGAAGTCGTTAGCGAAAATGTTAGTGAGGTGAAGTGGTTGGCGGCTTTGTAAATATTTAAGGTTAAGTTAGTGTTGTCGTTTGTGTTGTAAAATATACGTTAGTGGTTTTGTAAAGTGTCAAACCGTTATCTTGGGTAAGGTGGAACGCAGTGCCGCCGTACCCAAGATAGGTATACTAACTAAGGTTGGTCGTGTTATCATAGAAGTTGCCAGAGAATCTGTTAATTATTGGAAATCTCGAATGAGAAAATGTTCGGGACTTTTGTTTGACGGTTCTTGGAGTCAGAGAAGAAATGCAATGTTTTGCTATGTACAATTTGTAGAAGAGAAACTCAAAAAAATTGTAGATTGGGAAGTGATATCTAAATCTTTTAAAAATTTCAAAGGTAATTTCAACGGAAAATCAAATGAAATGGAATTTGAAGGCTTAAAAAGAATGCTGAAGCGTTGGAATAATGAAAAACGTGTAAATTTTTTTGTGCATGATGGCGATGTCAAAATTGTTTCTACAATCAAAAATACGTTCAAAGGTATCAGAGAATACAGAGATCCTGGACATTTTCTTAACAATATACAGAAAAAGCTCAAACTGCCAGAATTCAGAATCTTATCTAGCATTTCAAAGAATTTATTGCGTTGGCTTAGGCAACTTCTCAATGACACACATATGTCAATTAAAACAAAGAAGTTTTTATGGTTGAATTCCGCTAAACATTATGCCGGAAATCATAAATTTTGTCCAGATCCTGAAAAATGCAAGATGATTAAAACATGGAAATATGCAAAAAATAAAACTGCTATAAAAACACTTAAAAAATTCCTCGAAGATACCGTAAAAATCTTTGATATGGTAAAAAAGATTCATTCAACTCAAGTAGTTGAATCGATAAACCATATCAAAGCAATGCTTGCTAATAAAAATATTAATTGGCATGCTTCTTGGCCAATTAGGATGGCAGTCACAATATTGCATTTCAATGAAAGTATGTTTGAAACGATTGTAGCAATAAGATAAAAAAAAAAAAAAAAAAAAAAAGGTAGTGGGGCTTCCAGGCACTTCGTGCCCTCTAGCCCCGAAGATGTTTAGAATATGAGAGAGGTCCTATAAACCGGAGAAAGTGTCATATAAACATCTGTCATTTTACTCAGAATTTTATACAGAATTCGGCAAAAATATATTTTAGGGTAGAAGGGTATATCTAACCTCTTTTCTAACCTCATTTCTAACCTCTTGAATTTTCATGAATTTTCATGAAATTTACACCAAAAATATATTTTAGGGTAGAAGGGTATATCTAACCTCTTTTCTAACCTCTTTTCTACCCTCTTGAATTTTCATGAAATTTACACCAAAAATATATTTTAGGGTAGAAGGGTATATCTAACCTCTTTTCTAACCTCTTTTCTACCCTCTTGAATTTTCATGAAATTTACACCAAAAATATATTTTAGGGTAGAAGGGTATATCTAACCTCTTTTCTAACCTCTTTTCTACCCTCTTGAATTTTCATGAAATTTACACCAAAAATATACTACTAGGGTCATTTACGAAGAAATCTCAACAAAGTCTTTACGATGAAGTCTTGACAAAGTCTTTACGAAGAAGTCTCAACAAAGTCTTTACGAAGAAGTCTTAACAAAGTCTTTACGAAGAAGTCTCAACAAAGTCTTTACGAAGAAGTCTTAACAAAGTCTTTACGAAGAAGTCTCAACAAAGTCTTTACGAAGAAGTCTTAACAAAGTCTTTACGAAGAAATTCATGAAAATTCAAGAGGGTAGAAAAGAGGTTAGAAAAGAGGTTAGAAAAGAGGTTAGAAAAGAGGTTAGATATACCCTTCTACCCTAAAATATATTTTTGGGTCATTTACACTCATTTACGAAGAAGTCTCAACAAAGTCTTTACGAAGAAGTCTCAACAAAGTCTTTACGAAGAAGTCTTGACAAAACATTTACGAAGAAATTCATGAAAATTCAAGAGGGTAGAAAAGAGGTTAGAAAAGAGGTTAGATATACCCTTCTACCCTAAAATATATTTTTGGGTCATTTACACTCATTTACGAAGAAATCTCAACAAAGTCTTTACGAAGAAGTCACAATAAAACATCTGTCAAAAACTGTTTTTTACTTCACTTAAAATGCCACGTAAGCTACGTAAGAATATACGTAAGAGGAAGCGAGCATTGAAACATCCAATAGTAAAACTGACACCACAACAACAGTTGCAACAACAAATTATGAATGACCCCACTATGTTGCAACAAATGTCAAGCAATCCTATGCTTTTAAACCGAGTTCTTGGTGCACAGAGTGGAGGTTTAAGAGCGGCACTTTTAGCGAAAATGGCAGGCTATGGTGGAGCTGCAGACGGAACAGCCTATAACCCTCAAAGTCAAATGAATTTGAGTTCACTCAAAAATCAAATAACAGATGTCAAAAAGTCAAACATAGACATACAGAAGCAAATAAGTGAAAACGAAAAGAAACTAGAATATGACAGACACACAAAGAAACTCAATGAGTTTCTTATATACGAAAAAAAGAGATCTGACATTGTGTCAGATCTCAGTAAAAGTGACATTTACATGTCAAAAAAATAGAATGAGTTTAAGTAATTAAAATTGAGGGTGAGAGTAGTATTGTATGAAATAATATCTCTCACCCTCCAATTCATCCTATGGCGCCGAAAAAATTTTGGTGAAATGCGACCACATTTCACCAAAATTTCTCGGCGCCATATAGAGAACTAGAGCCTGTGAGGTACTGATACTATCCATGTACCTCGCAGGCTCTAGTTCCAAGCCAAAATGGCTAAAAATTGCCCGCAATTGTTCACATTGCGGGCAATTTTTAGCCATTTTGGCTTGGAATTGGAGGGTGAGAGTAGTATTGTATGAAATAATATCTCTCACCCTCCAATTCATCCTATGGCGCCGAAAAAATTTTGGTGAAATGCGACCACATTTCACCAAAATTTCTCGGCGCCATATAGAGAACTAGAGCCTGTGAGGTACTGATACTATCCATGTACCTCGCAGGCTCTAGTTCCAAGCCAAAATGGCTAAAAATTGCCCGCAATTGTTCACATTGCGGGCAATTTTTAGCCATTTTGGCTTGGAATTGGAGGGTGAGAGTAGTATTGTATGAAATAATATCTCTCACCCTCCAATTCATCCTATGGCGCCGAAAAAATTTTGGTGAAATGCGACCACATTTCACCAAAATTTCTCGGCGCCATATAGAGAACTAGAGCCTGTGAGGTACTGATACTATCCATGTACCTCGCAGGCTCTAGTTCCAAGCCAAAATGGCTAAAAATTGCCCGCAATTGTTCACATTGCGGGCAATTTTTTAGCCATTTTGGCTTGGAATTGGAGGGTGAGAGTAGTATTGTATGAAATAATATCTCTCACCCTCCAATTCATCCTATGGCGCCGAAAAAATTTTGGTGAAATGCGACCACATTTCACCAAAATTTCTCGGCGCCATATAGAGAACTAGAGCCTGTGAGGTACTGATACTATCCATGTACCTCGCAGGCTCTAGTTCCAAGCCAAAATGGCTAAAAATTGCCCGCAATTGTTCACATTCCCATCTTTTGTTGGTAAGACGAAGAATATGAAATAAATTATGAAGAAGATAATGATGAATAAAATATCACTTTTTATATTTTTGACACGTAAAGTTGTCACTTTTCTGTCAAACTGTTTTTATCGTTTTCGTATATAACAAGTTAAACGTAGAGAAAAAGAAGAAAGAAGAACAACTGAAAGAACTAAGTACAGAGGAATATGCGAAAAAAGTGTCAGAAAAAGCAGCAGAAGTAGCAAAAATGGAACAAGATGTCATAAATTTGAAAAACCATACTACTCAATATAAAATACTGAAAGATGAAGAGATAAAACAAAAAGCCCTGAAGACATATATGGATAGCGATGAGTATAAAAAAGAAGTTGAAGCAAATGTAAAGGCAGAAAAACTTTTACAGTTGCAAAACCAAACCGTACAGTATGAAAACTTAGCACAAGAAAGTAAAAATAACGACGCGGCTATGCAAAAGGCAATGAAAAGCGCAGAATATATAAAAGCTAACAATGACTGGTTAGATGCCCAAGCCAACGCTAAAGCAGCCCAACTCATAGGGTCAATAAGGACAAAAATACAAGCGGATGAAGATAGTTCAAATGAAGCTTTAACAAATGCTGACTTTAAGAACGCTTTCGAAGCTCTTCATAGTAAGGTGAAACAAGTGAACGACTTCTCATCTGGAAAGAAACTGAAGTCTGAAGGTTTCGACAAAGAGTTAAAAGAAGTAGCACAAAATATGACGAAAATAACAGATGCAGCAACGAGACAGGCAGTTCAAAGTGCCTATGACGCCGTTAGAGCAACTGTTGTGAAAAGTCAAGAAAAAGAGTTACAACAGACCAAAACAGACCTAGTAAATGCTTTCTTAAAAACGAAAAGTCAGGTAGGACATTACGCTGCAGATGGAACATATGTGCCAGCTGGTGGAACTTATATACCACCAAACCCTCCAAGAGAAGCACCTGCACCAGGACTACCTAGAACATTTACATCGTCACATGGACACAGACACAGGCATGCACAACAACCAGCACAACAACCAACAGTTCAAAATCCAGCACAACAACAACAACCAACACAACAACCAACACAACAACCAACAGTTCAAAACCCTGCACAACAACAACCACAAACAGAGCAAGGACATAAAAGAAGTAGAGAACAAGGAAACCAAGAATTCTTAAAAATGCTTAAAGAAGAGTGTGGTTTCCCAGATAGTATTGACTTTAGTGACAGATATAAAGAAGCTATTGGAAAGTTCAAGGATGGAAATACTGACCCGAACCTATTTAGCTTTATGGCTCAGCACCAAAACGGATATAATCTCAAACCTGGAAAATACAAGCTCGCTAAAGGGATATGATTTAATAGCATATCATCCAAATGACATGACTGAATTTACTCCGAGATATTTGATGTCAGAGCTAAATGACAATTCAACTTTCGTCATGAAACGCGTAAAAAATAGAGACGGAACGAAAGAACAAAAGCTTATGAATGCGGATGACGTAGATAGGGAAATTGTTGAAAACGGTCTCGGAATATATGAAATGCCAGCAGATGAGGTACAAGAAACTCCACAGGAAGAACTAGTTCAGATACAACCAGACATGGAAGAAATAGTTCAGCAACAACAGCTAGAAGAGCCTGAAGGAAACGAACAAGTCACTCCTTTGGAAACTAACTTCACAGAACTAGATGAAGATTTGGAACAGCCGAAAAATCTTGACCCTCAACAAGAGCATGAGGTGAATATGGAATCTTTCCAAGAGTCTAAGAAAGATTCGGCTGACATAGTAGAAGAATATCGAAAAATGTTTGCCGACATACAAAAGACTCCAACACCAGATGAAAATATTCAGCATAGAATGGAAGTACTGAAAAAAAATGTACACAAATACAACAACCCTTTTTACTTACGAGCATTTAACGTTCAATCTTCGGATGAACTCGGTGAAGATAAAAGGTTAAATTTCAAGAAAACATATAGAAATGAAACATTGTTTAAAGTTCATTCAGAACCTAACCAAGATGGAAACAAACCTACTTTTGTTTCTGCAGACGATGGAACTACAATGAGATGGGGTCATAAAGCTAACCCAGATAGGTGGTTCATAAACTTACAACCTCAATTCCAAGAAGTTGTAGACGCAATGGAAGTCAATGGTGAACCAGATATAGCTGGTATTTTAAGCGCGGCTTTAATGCCATTGAAAGATATGAAACATGCAGATATTTTGGACCAGTATGAAATGAACATGGCTGATGGAAATATAACACCTGACGTTCTAGAACATTTATCTCAAAGAACTACACAGAACCATAGAGATGGTATATTTGGTGAAGAGTTTAGAAAGAAAGTTAGGGATAGAGAAGGAAGAGAACCTATTGTACATGACCTTGCAAATGAAAGTTTACAAAATGTCATAAAAACTTACTTTGCAGACAATGAATCGAGAAGGGATGAATATTTAAGAAAACTCAAATGGACAGTACCAAATGAAATGTTAGTATTGAAAAACATGTTCCTTGACAAAATAAAACCAACTACAGAAATAAACGACGCAAGACTGAAAGATTGGGTAAAAGCTTTCCCATTCACAAAAGATATTATTGGTAACATGGAAAGAAAACCAGAATGGCTACAAAAACATATATTTGGAAACGAGCTTATTCCATATGGACAAGCTCTGTTTGAAGAGCTTGAACCAGAAACTCAGGAAAGAGTCATGCAAACAATACGCGAAGACTCAAATACAGACTATGACAAACTCTTTCTAGGATATAGGTTACCTGAGATGGGCGACCAGAGCCCAAAGGCAAAAAGGACATGGGAAATTTGCAACATACTAGGTGAACATGAGGCAAAGATGCAACAACTTGAAGCAGAGGGCAAGTTACCAAAGCGACACCAAAGAAGAAGAGTAGAACAAAGTGAAAGTAGTGAAGAAGTAACTTCATCTAGTGAAAGTAGTGGCAATGAAGGAAAAAGAAGAGTTAAAAACTCAGTCAGGAAGAAAGTAAAGCTTGGTCCACGTGGGTTCTATTATGACATATAAATCCAACTATTCTATATTTTTACTCATATGAAATGTACGCCGCTCAGAATATAACGCCAACAGTTTTGGATGCCATGAATGGAAATGTTTCCGAATGGTATAACGAATGCGACAATGCCATTAGAAGGTCAGAAATAGTTCCTGGAACTTACGAATATACAACTGCTGTTTCTTATGGAAACGTAGGTGAGTTTGGAGAAGGTTCTTCAACAACAGTAGATATTGCTTGCGACAGGTTTCATATAATTTCTATTGACAACTCATTCTTATACGTGGAACAAGACATTGAAATAAAACCTTCTGCCAAGTTGTCTGACAAGAAAGGTTGCAATGGAATTTTCTATGTCGGATACCAATATGCTCCAGAAGTTTTCATGGGATATAAGATATATTCTAACTCTGACTTAGTTCAAACAGTAACATGGGCAAACTATGAATGGTTCGCTTTGAGAAACTCAGTACAACCACAAGCTAGAGAACAAACAGACCAGTATGCAACTATTGAGAAAATAAGAAGACTTGACCCTAACGTTCCAGGAGTTTATGTTAACCTTTCTGGACAAACTGCAGCAGCAGTAACCAAAGTAAAATTGAAACTTAGAGTTCCTTTGTCATCTTTCCTCATCTTCAGGTTTTTAAGATACTTGCCAAACTGGGCAGGAAAAATTTCTATCGAACTTACTCCAAGCAAAAATAACTTAGTCATTGCACCAACACAAGACCCATTCACTCTTACAGACGTAAAGGGAACAAATCAAACGTCATTCGCCGAATTTTGCAAAAGACAAAGTTGACTTAGACTTTGGTTTCTCAAACCTCAACACTGAAGTAAACTATTATTTCAATGCTGCTGGAACTGCTTGGGACCCAGTTAAGTTCACATGCGAAAAATTTGAATGCAAGAGATAGAAAGCAGACTTGCAGTCTATATGTTGGACCCAGATATTTCAAATGCTTTAGCTGCCAAATATATTGCAGTTCCACTTATGTTCCCTATACACCAAATATCTGTCAAAGACTTTGCAGGTGAAGTTGGAAACCAAAGTGCTGACCCAGGTGCAAGAACAGATATTGCTTTAACAACTGCAATGAAACATGCAGATACTATGTTTGTACTGTTCAGACGAACTATAAATGACTATTCTTGTTTCTACAACCCCGGTATTAAATATCATATAAACATAGATGGCAAATATTATCCAAGAGAAGAATATTCTACAGTTGAGGATATGAGGTCATACAACTTGACATTAGATGCTATGAACTTTAACAACAACTTCACAACAACCATTAACCCTGAAATGCAAAGTTCTATTATGCCATATGTGAAAGTATGGACTCATACAGGAGGTCAAAAAACCCAATATACAAATGGAGACCGTTCAAACTTTTGGCTTGGCATTCCATTTGCTGACTCAGAAGACTTTATGGGTGGTATTTCAACTGTTGGTACTGTACAAATACAATATACTGGTGACAGAGACGGTCCAGATGAACTGAAAGCAAAGAAGTTTACAAAACCAATAGCACTTTTCACGGAAGATGCTCTTTTGAAGATTCGTTCGATGAAACCTGCTGGGGCTCCTCAGATTGGTATAACGACAGCTTCCATCGAGCAGATTTTGGCAGCAGGTCAGTAAGTTGTTCTTGAACTGACTTCTCTCCGTCAAATATTGACAGTACGCCAGTTTTGACATAAAATTGTATTATAAACTTACCTTTAGAAATATCTGTAAGTTTTGTTGTTATATTTTTGTCTGCTTCAAGAACTTTCACCATTTCAGTTATACCAACTTTCTTTGCTTTATGAAAATATTTTGGTTCAGCAAAGACTGCTATTCTATAACATTTACCATTGTTTGTATAAAGAACTATTCTGTCAATGTATTTGTATTGTTTGTGTGTGTAAACTTTGTTTTGCTTCAATTCGAAGAGATACTCGAATACGTCCATCTTTTTATTCTAAGTAAAATGTCATTTCCGAAAAATAGAAGCGTAAGTGTTTCAAAAGGTTTAATGGCGATGGCAGATGTGAAGTTAAATTCACCAACTCAAACAAACAGTCAAAGTGTTGTTGTCAATGTCAAAGAAAGAGATGTTGAAGTGGGGAAACCATACGAAGACGAAGATGGTATAACAATTGTTCCTGTAAAAGAACCAACATATCCTGAAGTTAGCAGAGACTTAAGTTCTGTTGCAGATATTCGAAACGACTACCAACAACTTAAAGACAAACTTAAAACTCAGGAGAAGATTTGTCAAGCTTTGGGTATAATGTTAAACTTGGTCGAACACAACCCTGTAAAAGTGAACTCATATGTCATTGCACCTCATGAAGTTTTGAAAGAACTATTGAAACTTTTGACAGAGGCAGACGATATAAACATCAAAGAAATAGAACCCGACGTTAGTTGCTGTGGTGTTTCATATAATGTCATTGACAAGATATACGTTATGAAAGGAGGTGAAACGTTGAACTTAAAATATAGTTTCCCAGACGTCATAAAAATATTTGACGACCACAACATTTCATTAAAATTTAGTTGCTAAGTAAATGGCAGAAGACATAGTGGTTTATACTATTACGACTAAAAACCCTGAGTCATATAATTCTATAACAACAAACTTACAAAGTCCTCAAGGACGATATTGTAAACTAACCTTAAACACAATGACGACTAAAGCCTGTTTTGCTCTTTTGACACCAGAAGACTTTGTTGTTGTGAATGGTAAAAAATACTTCTTTGAAGATACTTACTCAGATATACCACCAACAGGTTTTGTTGACTTATTTAATACTTTAAGGACGGATGTAACATGTGCTGCAACTAGAGCAGGTTTCATTATGTTTGGATGTCCGACTGAGTTTACTATAAACGATATGAGCTATAATACAAAACTTATATCTGGTTTTTACTACCAACAGTTTCCTATAACAGGAAAAGGTGTCATACAAGGTTTGTCTGTTCCATTGACTTTAAGTACACCTATTTTATATATTGTTTCAAACTTAGGTTCAAAGTGCTATTCGAATGTCGACAGAAACTACTATGACCAAAAGATACTCATGCGTATAAACAACACTTTCTCTGCTGGTTTGCCTATTGTTCATTCGAATGCAGAGTTTTCAGCTTTAGTGAACTCAAACACTTTAGCAAACATAAACTTAACCTTAGTTGACGCAAACTTTGTTCCTGTAAAACTTTTATGTCCTATGTATTTGTCAATGACGGCAGAAAGTTTCGAATTGGAAGATGCAACTGGTGAAAGTATTGTACTACAAGAACAACTTCAACAACAAATAGCTCAAGAACAACAAATGCAACAAATAGCTCAAGAATAAAAAAAATATTTTTTTTATTTTTATAAAAATGTACAGAATAGATGTTTCAGATTTTTATGACTTCCAAGCGTTCAGAAATATGTGTCCATTTAGAGACTATAACAAAGCAGTCGAGAATTTGAAACGTTTAGTCATTTATGTCGACTCTGCCCCAGAATGTTATGTCATGAAAGAATGGGATGTTGTCTTTAACAAACCAAGAGCGACAATAGTTTCAGAACAAGAATGTAGACAGAAACTTAAGAAAATAAAAGTCGTACAAGTTGGCATGAAGATGTTAGATGCTTGGGATATCTTATTGTCAAAGTTAGAAGATTTTTCAGTTCGTGGTATAAAGTTCTATACACCTTCTCCAAACTTCTATTCTATCTTCACTGGATATAAATATGAACAAGTAGAATGGAAAGAAAATATTATAGAAGCTTGGTTAGACCATGTCAAAGAAATTATATGCAATGGAAACGAAAGAGTCTATGAGTATATCTTATGTTGGTTTGCAAACATCTTACAACATCCAAGTGCTAAAAATGAAACTGCTCTCATTATAATTGGAAAACAAGGAACTGGTAAGAATACTTTCTTTACAGATATTTTGTGCAAACTGTTAGAGGGCTATTCGAATCCGAATATGACAAACTTAGAAAACATCTGCGGTAAATTTAACTCTTCAATAGAGAATATGAAACTTATAGTATGTAACGAACTTCAAAGTATAGATACAACAAAAGTTTTGAACTCAGATGCTTTGAAGAGTCTTATAACAGACAAAGTTGGAGTTGTTGAAAGAAAATATAAAGACCAAAGAGTTTGTGAAAATGTTGCAAATTTCATCATGGTTTCAAACAACGCCGTTCCGATGAAGTTAGAAAGTTCTGACAGAAGATATGTAGTTGTCAGAACGTCAGATTCTCATATGCAAGATACAGAATATTTTGACGACTTAGCAGAAACTTTGACATCTGACTTTTACAACCACTTGTTCTCATATTTCATGACATTAGATATTTCTAAGTTCAATCCAAGACAAATTCCATATACCGAAGAAAGACAAACATTGTTAGAAGCAAACAAGAGTGTATATGAACTGTTTATAGATGAGACTAACTTTGAGTGTTTAGATGAAAGGTCATTGTACGATGAATATAAACAGTATTGTCAAGAGTATGGTTATATGACAGCGTCTAAACGAACATTCTTGGCAAATGTCAAAAATCTTTTAGATGTTCAGAATGGTGTATATACAAAGAAAAATTTTTCTGAGTAAATTTTAAAAAAATATTTTTTTATCCGATAGAAAAGATGACAAAATTCATCTCAGTAAATAAGTACATGACAGAAGTCAAAGATAAGTTAGCTCCATTCGCATATTTGAATGTTTACTTCTACCATTTTGAAAAGTCTTCATTTGACAAAGTTTGGAACATCGAACCAGTTAAGTTTGCTATTGTGACTAAAAATGGTGCGAAATTTGAAGACTTAGACATAGAAGGTTTGTTAACAGTCAAAGAAAATTTTGACAGAAAGTTCTCAAAACTTGAAGAAGGCAAAGCATACAAACTTGTTATACCTTATGAACCAAAGAAAGCAGACGACTATGAATATTATGAGTCTAAGATAGTTGAAGTTCAAGGTAAATTAGGTAAAAAGATTTTAGAGTCTAAGCCAGTGTTTGCCCCTAAAGAGGAAGAGAACATTGACATTGACCCAGAAATGTTCTAAAAATAAAATTTTATTTTTACATGTCATATCTCACCTTCTCTGGAATTGGCTCTGGTTCTTTCTTCTCTTCTTCTACTTTCTTTTCTTTCTTCTCTCTCTTCTTCTTCTTCTCTGGTGGAGTTATGTCAAACTTCTCAGAACCATATTTTTGTAAAAGGTCTTTGTCCTTTAATAGCTCTTCTATTCTGTTTTCTATTTCATCTTCAAGAACAGCGCATGTGTCTTCTTTGCATTCTAAGAACTTTTGTTGGACTTCAGCTTTCCAATCGGCGTCATCTCTGTCAACAAGTCTGTCATTGACAAATTTTAAGACTTCTCTGCTTAATGTTTTATGGTTCTTGTCATATTCCCAGAAACAGAACTTTAGAACAAATTCACCTTTCTTGTTTACACTATGTAAGATTTTATGGTCGACAGATGTTTTGCTGTCAAAAAGTTTGTCTCGAATATAGATAGCGAAATCGCTAGACATTTTCAAAAAGATAAAAATTTTAATTTTTCTAAAAATATGTTAGAAAAAAAGTTTGCTGACATTGACAAAAAATTTGAGAATGTTTTAAATAAGAACAAGAGGAAGTTAGAAAATGCTCAGATAAAGCCTATACATGACAAGTTCTTATTTGCTCAGAATGGTATAACAGGTCTAATCGCACCACCTGGGTCGGGTAAGACTTTCACTTATCTTAAAATGGCTGCACAACAACAAGAACTAGATGAGAAGAACCCATTCTATGAGTTAGTTGTTATTTGTTCGACTTCTGGTCAATTTGACCAAACCGTCAATTCGTTCAAAGATATTATAAAGAAGTCTAAGTTAGTATGTATAAAAGACTCTGAGTTGTTAGATTGGATAAAGAAGTACCAAAGAAGAGTTTTGAAGTACAATGCTATAAATGAGTATGTCAATTCGAAGTTTAAAGACCCAAATGAGGAAATGCAGAGAATATTAGAGAAGAAACACTTCAGAAACAAACAGAAAGAGATAGAATACATTTCGAAGAAATTGCAATCTTACGATTGGAAGACATACCCTCATAGATGTCTTCTTATCTTAGATGACTTTGCTTCTCATCCTTTGTTAAAGAACAGAGAACAAGATATGTGTCGAATTCTTAAGAAACTTAGGCACTTTAACATCTCAGTCGTAATATGTGTACAGACAGCAAAGAGTTTAAGTAAGGATGTAAAGAGAATACTTACTGATATCATACTTTTCCCCGGATTGTCCGAAGACGATTTCATGGAGCTTATGAAAGAGTCCATGGCAGGTAAGTTTGACAGACATGAACTATGGGAGAAGTACAAAGTCATACAAGACCCTCATACTTCTTTCAGAATTCACATCTACGCGAACAAAGTTCAAATTGTAAAAAGTCAAGCTTGAAAAATGTAAGTGTTTGAGTCTTAGTCTGTTGTGGTGCTGGGGCTGTCGGTTCTTCTGGCTTTGGAAGACATTCAGGAAGAGGAACGTCGGACATTCGTTTGTGTCCTGTCGGAAGGAAGAACTTTTCCAGTTGTCGGGAAAAATTTTTCCAGTTGTCGGGAAATTTTTTTCCAGTTGTCGGGAAAAATTTTTCCAGTTGTCGGGAAAAAAGTTCTCAATTTTCGAAAATTTGAATGGTTTACGGACGAACAACAAGAAAAATTTTTCCAGTTGGAAGGAAGAGTTCTTCCAGTTGTCGGGAAATTTTTTTCCTGTTGGAAGGAAGAGTTCTTCCTGTCTGATGGAAGGACTCGGAATGCCAGAAGGATTTGACGAGGCAATTTACCATCTAGAGCTACCTGAGCCATCTGAAGTCAAGCTTGAAAAATAAAGAGTTCATCTACCCTGCTTGTTTGAAGTTGTCAAAATACTCTGTTATTTTTTCCTTTAACAATGGCAAATCTTCTTTGAATGTAAGTATTGTACAACCTTTCATATCATAGTGTGTTTGAGGTAACGTATCTTGAACTATCTGTTTAACATCTTCATTCGGTGTCATTGAAATCGGTAAGTTTTCGCGATAGAACCAATTTCTGTCAGATTTGTAAATCTTAGCAAGGTCGTAAAAGCTTTTGTTGTTTCTTCTGACTAAATGCAACATAACCATATCTCTGTCTTCTTCATTTTCCATCTCTTCAGTATAAATCATATACTTATAGTTCTTTTCCTTTCCTTTTGGTACCGAACGTGGTATTCTTTTCTGTATGTTTTTGTCTTTTGCTTCAATGACTTCATCTTTTGCTTGAAGTTTCTTTTCCATCTCTTCACGTTCTTGTCTATGAATTTCATCTAACATCATGAAAATATAACAAGCGTAACGAGGCGAAGCCCACATTGCAACAGCATTTACAAGAAGTCTATGAACATAATATCCTTTCAAACTATTTGGCAAATTTTTACGATTTTCGTACGGAATCTCGTTCCTCGGTTTTCCGAGGAACGCAAACATATGAGGAAATTCTTCTAAAAGTTCTTTTGCCTGCTGGTTTTCAAACCAATGATATGCTTGCTTTGTAGAACGAAGAGCTGTCAAAATACTTTGCATTTGGTACATATCGTCTTTGACCGAACGAATGAGACGTAACTGTTTGTTATATTGTATGTACTCATATTCTTCACTTATGGCTTCATGAACGATAGCAGTTGTTGTGTTCTCTGTTGTTGTCATATCTGTCTTTACATACAGGATAAAAAATTTTGTTAGAAAAAAACTAGCGTTATTTTCTTACTTTCACAAAAGACCAAAAATAAACGCTTTACATGTATTTTTCAGTAACTTCGTCAAGAAGTCTGTAAATATACCATGCATAACGAGGAGAAGCCCACATTGCTATTGAACTAACTAGGAACTTATGAACATATATACCTTTTAGATACGATGGTAAGTTTTGTCTGTCTTGGTACATCTTTTTAAGTTCTACATGTTCGAACTCACTCAAAAGTTCATGAGTGCTATTTAATTCAAACCAGTCTTGTGGTTTCTTAGTATCTGGTGTAGCACATGCTGTCAAAATACTTTGCATTTGGTACATGTCATCCTTGACCGAACGAATGAGACGGAGTTGTTTGTTATATTGTATGTACTCATATTCTTCATTTATAGCTTCATGAACGATAGCAGTTGTTGTGTTCTCTGTTGTTGTCATTTCTGTCTTTACATACAAAATAAAAAAAAATATTTTATAAAAAATTAGCGTTATTTTCTTACTTTCACAAAAGACCAAAAATAAACGCTTTACATGTATTTTTCAGCAACTTCGTCAAATAATTTTATAGCTTTATCTATCTCATCTACTTCAAACGTTTCTTTACCTTTCATGGGAGCACCATACATTTTCTCAAACTTTTCAAGTAGTTCTGTTTCAGCAGCTCTCATATCATTAACAAACACAACCTTGACTCTATTGACTGTACTGTCATATCTTTGAGTTATATTATATGTTCTTCCTATCTTATATCTCTTTGTATTGAAGTCCTTCGGTTTCTGAACGATGTAAAGTAAGCCTTCACTGCAACGTTCCGTATCGAATGAACCATATGTTATGAAATTATATCCAACAACTGGGTCAATCCAGAACAAAACTACTGGTATAAGACTTTTGTCTATAAGATATGCTCTTGTTCCATAGAATCTTACCGATATCATAAGCTCAGGATTTCTTGTCAAAATTTTCTGAGTTGAAGCATTTTTAACCCAGTCGTGTGCTTTCTTTTCAGATAGTGTTAGAATGTCTGACAAAGAATATTTTTTGTATTTCTTTGAGTATCTTACGTTTAAATCACCTATTCTAACCACCTTGGTCTCATTGTCTATCCTTTTAACTGTTTCAAACTCAGTGTTTGTCATTTCCTGTTCTTACATACAAAATAAAAAAAATATTTTAAAAAAACTAACTTTATTTTTTCTATCTTAAGGAAATTCATGATTTTCATAGAGTTATGGCGACCAGGATTTCTTACCTACTCGCAATTTTTTACGATTTTCGTACGGAATTCAGCAAAAATAATGTTTAGGGTAGAAGGGTATATCTACCCCGTTTTCTACCCTCATTTCTACCCCATATGTCCTTACTGAAAAAGTATGTGTTCCATATGTCATTTTACTCAGAATTTTACTCAGAATTCAATAAAAATATATTTTAGGGTAGAAGGTTAGATCTAACCTGTTTTCTAACCTCTTTTCTACCCCAGTTATTTTATAAGCGTTTTACATGGTAAACATTGTGAATTCGTGAAATTCTAAACAATTTCGTAGCTTCTATTTCTTCTGTCAGTACATCGAATGTTTTAACTATGCCGAATGTTTCTTTATATTTCTTCTTGACATCAGATAGAAGGAAATCGTCAGCTGTTGGATAGTTTTTGTTCAGAAATGTCAACATGTCCATTTTATCTTCTGCTGGTTTCTCTACTTCTTTCTTTAAGTCAGCATAGTCGTTTCGCATACGTTCTATCTCTTTGACGGAGTAGTTATATTTCCTCATTGCTGCTTTACATTTTGAACATTGTGGGTTCATTTTAGCATTGTACATTGAAATCTTACCTGCTAGTATGACTAAGGCGTCAATTGCTCTCTTTAACTCAAAAGTTGCGGGTTTTATCTGTTCATTCCATACCTTACCTCTTCTATCTTTATCTCTTATCTGCCATACACATTTTGCAACTAACGAAACAAAGTTGTCGTAGGTCTTAAACTCTTCAGATTTGTATATGTCAGAGATGTTCTTATATACCATGTCGCAATCTTTGTCCATGACTTTGTGGTTGCAATGAAATCCAAGAAACTCATAGTTTACCTTTCGTATGAACTTCTTTATTTCTACTGAGTCAGTTGCTTTGACTTCTATTTCATCGAATTCTGGAATAGTAAGCTTTTGTTGTTGTATTTCAGGAAGTTTAGGTAGATGGTCAATAATGTCCTGCATTTCATAAAGATACTGTTCATTTGTTTCATCTTTTGCGGTACAGTCTAAATCTCCTTGGAGAAGTTCTTGCTTTATCTTCTGGATTTCTGTTTCGAAAGTATATGAAGAAGGAATGAAGCTTTTCATCTCTACTAACATTGAAGTTGGGTTCATGACTAACGAGTTTGGTGCTGTTGTTGCTAACATGTTCTTACAATAAAAATAAAAAAATATTTTTTTTAAAAAACTAACTTTATTTTATTTCAGCACAAAATGAACGAGTTTGGTTTAAAAATACGGTGGAGCCAAAAATGGCTCGACCTCAAAACAAGCATTTTGTGAAGAATATACCAACCCGCGGAATTCCGCGGGTTGCTTTTTTTATACAAAATTCAAGAGTTTTGTGTGTTTTCTACGAGGGTAGAAAAGAGGGTAGAAAACGGGGTAGATATACCTTCTACCCTAAAATATATTTTTGTCGAAAAAAAATGGTTCATTTACTCACAATATTTTTGTACAAAACGACCCCAAACTTTTAACTTCTTTTCTGCAGCTTCTAATGAAATTTTAGCGAGTTCATATTCTCTAAATTCTCTCTTTAAATCTTCTTGTTCCCATTGGTCTAGTTCGTATGGAGAGTCTCTATAACCAGAACATATCTCACGTTCATGTTCTATTTGTTTTTCATGCATTTTTCTAACTTCTTCTTCGAACAAAGGTTTTGCATTCTCTACTGTATCTTCAAGTTCTTCTTCATCTAATTTCTCATGAACTTTCTTGTCTATGGAGTCCATAATTTTTCCAACTGCTATACAATATTTTGGAGAAGCCCACATTGCTATATAGTTTACGAGTCTTGGGTCTACATACGTTCCTCTAACCTGTTTGATTTCATCAGGAATTCCTGCATGAACTTTGTATAAAAAGCAACCGCCGGAATTCCGCGGGTTGGTATATTCTTCACAAAATGCCTTAAAATACTCTTCCCAGGACTTATTTTCCAACAACTTTCTAAAGTCTTTCCTAAACTGCTGACACATATTTGTTACATTTATATAACCATCCTTGTCTCTACGTAAGACTTCAATACCATTGTAAGTGCCTTTTGTGAATGTTTCGCCATTAGATTTGTTCGTGAACGTTTTTGCTTCGACTGTCATACTGTTCTTACAATAAAAATAAAAAAATATTTTTTGGTGGGACGTCGGACATTCGTTTGTGGCTTAACCGTCGGACATTCGTTTGTGGCTTAACCGTCGGACCACAACGATGAAATCTATTTCCTGTGTTGTTGTCAAAATGTCATGTTGTCACCATTTTCAAAAAGATGTTAGTTGACCGAGTGACCGAGTGACCGAGTGACCGAGTGACCTGGTCGCCTAAAATATATTTTTGTCTATCTTAAGGAAATTCATGAAAATTCACCTGTTGAATTTTGTATAAAAAGCAACCGCCGGAATTCCGGCGGTTGGTATATTCTTCACAAAATGCTTGTTTTGAGGTCGAGCCACTTTTGGCTCCACCTCTTTTTTCACCTAAAATATATTTTTCAATACTTTTTCAGCACTTTTCCGTAGTTATATATGAAAGACAATTCGAGATAAAAGTCATAGTACAATGGAATAATATGTTGCACACCATTTGTTGTGAACCAAACTTGAAAGTCAGAGAAACTGTTACTAGGTGGTTCGGGATGAAATTTCTTCATCTGAAATATTCCTGCCAGCGTTTGTAAAGATATAGTCTAACGGTTTTGTATCTGCTACTTTTGTTCTTTGTTTTTCAACCTGAAGCATTTAATATATGTAAAAATATATGGTTTTAAAATGGTATGCAATTTTTTATTTCTCATCTAACAAGCATGTTGTCTGACTGCTTGAGGGTTAGGTTGGTACCATTCGAACTTGACACTTGCAATTCCTTCAATTGCATTCAAAATGTCTGAGTCGGAGTCAAACATTTGTTCTCTCTTTGTAGTCTTGAAAGCGTCAAGAAGTTGTGCGGCTGTTGTGACATTGCCATGTGCATAGTAAATGTGACCGTCCAAATCTGTTACGGTTAGTCTGAGATTGTATCCTTTCTTATTTCCGTCTTGTATGGCAGCAAGTACTCCCATGAAGCCTTCTTTGTTCTTTCCTTCGTCAAAGTTAACTGTAAAGGTTCGACCAGATGTAATTTTACTTCTAACCTCGCGATACTTTTCATATGCATATCTTGTTCTTTCCATGGGAGCATGTGCGTCTTCACCCTTTCCTTTTTTCCTTCTCAAAGGATGCAATTGTTCGTCATGTTTCCAGTAGAATCTGGCAAAGCCGTCGTGTCCTTCAACTTGAGGCTCACTAACATTGAAAGGCAAGTTCATAAGACGTTCTTCTTCTAACCTCTCTAGTCTGTTTGGATAATTTGCGCGTGCTGTTTCCAATTCCATTTCATAGCGAAGACCAGACAGTTTGTCATAGACTTTTATGGGTCTTCCCTTCTTATATTTAAACTTTTTCGAAACTCTCCAACCATATCTTTCTAACTCTGCTTTTATTCTAGCAGA